GGAATAAGTTTTGATAGTACCGGTACCGATCGTCGTGGCCGGCCAACGCCAGCAACAGCACAGGAATGCGGCCTCGTCAGCCTGAGGTTGGGGGAATCTGGGCTGCTCAGGTACCAAAGCCAGATCGGGGTCAAGGGGGCGCGCACATGTTGTAGCGAGGCGAGTCGTGTCATGATTGGTAGTAGCGGGTCAGGGAGGATACTGGGAGAAGAGTATATAATAGGGTGGTACTCCTACATGGCATGGCTTCGTCGCCTGGCTGAGCACGCGAGGCGTTAGCAACAACGAAAGGGTGCGAAGCCTGGCCCGGCAGCGAATGAAGAGCGAGCCAGCATCCAGGCCGATCTCCGGGGGGGGAGAGGCCGTGGTGAGCCAGATTACAGCATGTAACAAAGTCCAGTGCCTCACCTGTACTGTATAGGAGTAGCCATGTAGAGTACCTACAATACCGGTACGGCACGGAAGTTTGTCCACGGCGGTAGCTGGGCTGGGTAGGAGGATGAAGCGATGGGCTGTGCTGCTCTGCCCGCCTTGACTTGACCCAACGGTCATAGTGACGCTACACCTGGGGCATCCCGGTAGCTACTACGCTAAGCAAGAACCGCTTCCACTTCCCCCCTCACCCACTCGACGTTTTCTGTCTTGGCCAACCACCACCACCACCACAATCCACAGTCCACACAATCGACAATCAGCAATAACAGTGCAACAAACCAACTTGGACCGCCTTCCCCAGCTGCAAAACCACATAGACACACACGGCTGAGCGGATCATGCATGCACAAGACACACTCCTAACCATTCGCTAGTATGTACCATAGCTTAGAGGACTTGTACTCTGCAGTACTGAAAGCTGCCCATGATAGTGCCCTCGGTCGCTACCAGCAAAATCACACCCTTCCCATCATCCAGTTTGCCTCGGCCAGCTGGCAATCTGCCTCAGCTCAAAGCTAATCTGGCCGTCTTCTCCAAATGCAATCAGGCGGCATGTCATCCAGATACGTTTAGACAATGGCGAATCACACGCAAGAATTTGCCTGGCCATTTCCGTCCAAGGACGTGTGGAGAAAACGCCCACGCCAGCCAGCACTTTGCTGCTCTCCAACAAGCACTTGGCCGGCCCCTAAACTCGACACGACGAGGTGGCAGGTGGGTACTACAGAGGTAGGCAGGTGCGGAATACTGCAACAATTACCAATGTCCATGTCTGCCGTCAGGCCTTTGGCCCAAACGTCGAGTTTCAGGTGACAGACTTTGTGACAATCGCCTTGGACTCGTATACGGCTAGGGATCTTGTAGGTAACCGTCGTCACCTACTCTAGGTGGTAGCAAGCACGGTCTGCATAGCCGCTGTTGCTAATACGACAAGAGGGGCAACAGAGTGGGTGGGGGTGGGGATACAAGGCCCGGTCTGCCTAGAGTGCCTAACGTATCCCTGGCATGACCATGTGAGGATATGACCTGGATCTCAACTATTGTCTTTAGCGTTGTGGCCGTTCATGCAAGGTACGGGCCCAGCTCCCTTGTCTCTGGCTCCGGACGATAGATGGTGTGTCGAATGCTATGCCTTTCTGGCTAGGCGTGAGTGCTCGACCTTGTCTTGCCATCGGAACTAATAATGATACGAGGAACAATTGACACAGGGAAGCAGTCACATACTCTACATACTGCGCTGCTAATCCATGAACCCATAATCGTACCGTGTCAACATCAAACATTGGGTTGAGTGTGCGCATGTTGCCCGCCAGCTTGAAATCGCTGTACCGGTAATGCCGAAATAAAAATGCGATCTTCGGAGCCGAGTGTAGCCATGTCGTCACATTCAATATTGCCTGTTACCCTCCGGGAGACATGCCATGTGGAAGGCTGGCTCATTCTGACCTCGATGCTTCCCTCACTTCCACTCTATCGGCTACCTTCGAAGACCATGAACGCATGTGGGAGCTCGACTGTGATGATCATTACCAAAATGCAAGCAAGGTCGTAGCCCCAATCACATCAAACTATATACACCGAGAAAAGTAAATTCAAAACTTTGGCATTACGGCCATTACAAAAACTCTGATACACCTCATGATAATGCTGACCGGTTGATCATAGGATCATGCTGGTAGGACATGTCGGTTACCGTTGACGTACTGTCGTCGCTTCGCTCTTGTGCCGATCCGGAACCCACAGACACGTCATCATTAGGGTCTTCAAAGGGAGAGCGTTCGATAAGTTGGGTTTGTGAAGTCGAAGGTGGGTAGTCGTGAGATCGGAGGCTGCTTTGACGTGATGTTGAGACAAAACTGGGTGGAGCGACGCTGCGAGGTCGATAGGGTGGTGGCGGTTCCTCCAGACTGTTATTATCTGCAAATGGATCTACAGGTCGTACATTGTTCGAAGTTATCGAGACCATGTCAGACGTGTCCAGGCCCGTCATGTAAGCACCGTTTGAGCTAGACAAGATCGGCCCAATGATGACAGGCTGAAGCTGGCTGGGTGTGGAAGTGGGTGGCAGTGGAATCGATGAGCTGGCCCGTCGCGCAGTGACTTGAGGTACGACGTATTCTAGTACAGTGGCCTCGGCATGGATTTTCATCTCTTGAATCGTGATTTTGGCATCTTCTTCCCTTCGCCGCTTCCGTCTACGTAAACATACGCAAATGACGATACCAACGACTGCTAACAAGACAGCAGGAACAATCGAGGCAACAGCATAGAGTGTTGTATTATTGCCGTGTTCTTGCGTCCAGGGCTGATCAGGATGTGGACCACCAATATCATTACCTGTGCCAGAAGAAAGTGGCGTGTACGAGTAGCTTCCAATCATGGTTGGTGACGCTGGCGGAGTTGTGGACTTCAGGTTATCTGATTGGGCAGGCGGAAATGTTGAAGTTTCCCAGCTCGACGGCTTTGGCCAATCTGAAGGTAATCCTGGTGTAGGACCGTTATAGAGAGGATGTCCAGACGATCTTGACCTTGTTTGGTAGTCCGTAGCAGTGGGCTCAGCCGATATCTTCGTGTTGATCCACGGGGAGTCTACTATTGGCATTCCAGTGAAAGTGCTAGAGACCGTCGACGACGGCGAATCGTCATTATCGTTGTCATCGTCGTCTGTATCGTATTCGTCGTACGTTTGTGTCGACGAACGAGTTGGATGGGGGAAGCGGCCTTTTCTCTTTTTTCCATCATGTTGGGGAGCCATGTCTGAGGCTGTTTTAATATGGAGCAGGCTTACGAGAGAGGCTGTTGCTCACAAGTAATCGGCTGGTGTTAGGTCAGATTTCTGGCCGAGCAGGAGTTTTTAGAAGATATCATACGTTTCTGTGTTTGAGCAACGACGGAAAGGTATACCTAATCACTAGTCTCGCTGAAGCGGGCACTGGGAAGGGATACTGGTCCGAACTTATTGTCCAGTAGTAAGAGATGCGGGGCCGGCTGACGGACTTCGAGCAGCGTCTTAGTATGTACCACGTTCAGTCGATAACGCGAGAATCACCATGGATAGTGTTAGGGTTCTCTTTTGCAGTAGGCAACGACGTAATTTGGGGGTCCAAAGATTCACAATCGCTCTCGAGGTAAACTTGATTGTGAAGACGGTCTCTGGCGAAGATGCGAGAGGCAGCTCTTTGATATGCCTGAGCTGGGAAAGGTACAGGCACCTTACGGCTATCTGTCTGGCGACCTGTGTGCTGCAAGCTGTCCAGCCAACGAGTCTAAGCCCGCAATCCTGGCTGGAAATGGTTGGTGTGGTTGGGTGGAACTAGGACAAGGGTTAAGGATATGAACTCAGCCTCGCGGCTTGCAAGGTGAGCGACAACGAACGACCCCGCCACTCCCGCCTTCTTGGGATTGGCAACATTATTTTTAGTCTTGGCCAAGCTTGGTGATCGATACAGAGGGACCCAGGAATGACGATACCCGGCTTTTAGTACTCTTGGGGGTATCATTAATGTCCGAGTCTATACTTTGTCTGCTTTGAGAATTCTTCATTTGTCGATTATCAGAAGTATCGGTGAAGACGGACAAGCACACGAAGAGAGACCAGGGAGGGGTTTCCGAATCACTCTCAGACGCAGCAGTAGACTTGCAGATCTTTTGTTGCAATCATTTCCAGTTCTCCCGTGATTGGCCTCGAGGCTGGCCACCGGCGGCCTTGAACGGTTGTGAGACGTCTATCTGCAGTGTGCACCATCCAAGCAAGCGCTGCGGTAGGTATTTCACAGCTGGAGACTAGCAAGATAGCCGATGGAAAGCACCCCTGTAATGTTTGAAACACGGCGATTGCCGAATTGACCTGTGGTATGGTACAATACTAGCACATCTGCCTTTCATGAGCTTGACTCTTTGCTAACAGAGCGCGTGATTGGCGTACCGGTACTTCCAGTGCGACCGATGGCAGTGCAACTAGCAAAAGCATGGTCGACGTCTTTTTCTGTACCACAGTAGAGATTCCGTTCATGACGAGGAGCAAGTACTCGAAGGCTCTTTACATCCAGTGGCTTTGGTATACATAGTATACTATAGGGCAGAGTTAAATCGGTCCGCTGGAAGAGAGGAGAGTGGTCGGATTGCCGGCCACGCCTTTCGTCAAAGTCCATGTTGAGTCCGGCGGAAAAGTCGGCTCGGGCCAAGCTGGAGGTTGCCCAGGTAGGTAGGCTCTAGCGCCGGAGGAAAAGTGGGATGTGAAGAACTGTTCACGACACCAAACAACGTCTTGCCCACGTCGCTATAGCAAGGCTAAGGTTCTGATATTCTAGTAAGAGACTGCCCTATGCTATAGGATTCACTCTACTAATTTTTTGTTTTGTTCTTAGAAAAAGGGCTCGCATAGAAGTCTTGGCATTGCTCAAGTTTTGCTATCCATCACTAATATCCCACTTTTCCTCCGGCGCTAGAGGTAGGTACCTAGTTAGAGGTAGGTGCCTAGGTAGACTCTAGCTCTAGCGCCGTCCGAAAAATGAGTTGTTAGCAACTGCTCAAACACCAAACAATGCCTTGCCCATGCCGCCTTGATAAAACGGTAGGATTTATTCTGCCAAAGAACTCTTCTATCAGACCAGTATAGGAGTGTTGGTATCGCTCAAGTTTGGCCATCCCACCATCACTGATTTCTCGTTTTTCGGCCGGCGCTAGAGTCTAGCATTCCTTGGCTTAGCTCATCGGGCCGCAGCACTCATCCGTTCCACCATGTAGGTATCCATGCATCCACGCCTCCACAATGTCAAGGTTCCGACCACTGCATCACTATGGGTGCGTACCGCTCTCTACGCAGTGCACGTGTATTCCACATTAACCTGAGCCTTAGATCGCTTGAAAAACGTGGCCAAAGGCGGCTGGCATCCAGAGAAGACTGCAGCGGCCAACTCGGGCGGAGGTTCGAGCGACAGTAAACTAAATCAAGTGGTATGAATGATTTCATGCTTGTGCATCTCGGCCCTGGAATCTCTTCTTTCACTGACCGTCTTAGAAAGGATGGGTAGGAAAAGCCCAAGGGAAAGACTCTCATGCCGAGGCCGCTCGTGAACACCAGTCAACCCCGCTGTCTTCCCTCAAAGACCCTTCGACATTCGCTCCTCCACCAAAGCGGCTCGCCTACGGTGCGTCTGCCGCTACAGGTTCATCTTCCGCTGTTCCGCCCGTCTCTGCAAAGCAAAATCCCCAGGAGAAGGAGGAAGTAAGAAGGAGGGCAGAAGAAGAGGCGAATCGGCCTCCGTCAGGACCGTACAGACCTGATACGACAGGGCTCGATACATCACACCTGCCAAAACCGCCTATCTTTAGACCAAACAATGGCTCTCCTCCTGTGCCTCCTTCGAGACCAAAGCCCAGCTTACCGCCGCGACTACCGCCCCGCCAAAACTCGAATCCCGATGTGAACGCGCCGCTTCCCCCGCCTACCTATAATGAGGCCACACAGCAAGGAACGCCCTCCCAAGGCATCCTGAATCAGGGAGCTTTGAACCGACTGGGTCAGGCTGGAATATCAGTCCCTGGTTTCGGCATTGGTAGAACGGCGTCACCACCTGTACCACCTCGACAGAAGTCTGTGTCAGATGCACCAACACCGCCGCCAGTGTCCTCTGGACAGGGATCGCAGATGAATGAGCTGCAAAACAGATTTGCACAGATGTCAACCACCACTCCTCCGGCCGCAGCTCCTGCGACCGGCACATCATGGGCTGATAAGCAGGCAGCGCTACGGACAGCAAGCAAGCTTCGTGAAGATCCCTCCAAGGTCAACGCTACTGATCTTAGAGGCGCTGCGGCGACCGCCCATAACTTTCAGCAAAGACATGGAGACCAGGTTGCTAGTGGATGGAAGGCTGCTACTGGACTCAATTCACAATACAATATTGCAGGCAAGGTGAACAGCTTCGCGTCGTCGAGCGCAACCTCGCCCGCGCCCCAACCGCCCACGCAAGTTGGATTGGGTGAGCTAGGCAAAAAGGCGGCTCCACCTCCTCCGCCCAAGAAGAAGGAGCTGGCAGGAGGGCCGGGCAACCCACCGCCAATCCCTTTGAGCAGTAAACCCAAATTTTAGATGATTAGGATATTCTTCTTCTACAATTTAGATTCCAAGATTTGATAAATGACTTTGTTTGGGACTGAGCAGTCAAGGGAGCACCTGCTGCCGGGGAAGAGCTAGAGAGGACTTGTTGAACCTGTATACTGTGCAAATCGATAGATGCATGCATAGATGCTCCATGATGCAATAATCGTTTGGCCATTATTTCCTTATATTCTTCTTACATATAAGTAGTAGTACTAGTACAAGTACATTTTAAGTGCACCAAAAACACTATTGCATCATGCTAGCTAGTTTATTGCAAGTAAGCACCACTGCTTTACAGCCAAAGCCCAGGGAACCAACAGCTCGCTGTCTCTCTAGACCGAATTTAAAATAATAATAATGATGATGATAATAATAATAATGATGAAAATAATGAAAGTATGACGTAATACCTAGATGAAGATGAAAAGATGTGAAGAAATCGCAAAAAAAAGACGGGATTGTCAAAGGCGACTAGACCGAAGCCCAAGGGGATCGAACCCTCAACCTTTGGTGAACAGGCACAATGCCGAAAACCAACGCGCTACCATTGCGCCAAGGCTCCTAGAGAGGAACTTTTTGATGAAGAACTTTTCACATAAAGCGTAAATCTACTAATGCAAATATTGTTAAAAAGTAATTGGGTAGGAGAGTTATTCTGCATTACCAAGGCTGGTAGTTGTCGAGTGCAAGGAGATGCAGATTCTATCTGAAGCGGGGCTGTGGGCGAGGATGGCTGAAGAGGGGTAGGTTCTGGTCGTAGCTCTGGGTAGCGATGTGGCATGGTAGTGAGCGGAGTATTTGAGCTATGCTATGCACCATGAGGAGGAGGGATAGAAACAGCCGTGGCTGTGTTTTTCTGTCACTTACAGTACACATGACATGGCATTCATTATAGTAGGTATAGTACGTCATGTCCTATGTGCTGCTGTGCGTGTGTGGCCCCTGTGAATACTCTTCATGTAATCATCGAATGAATGGCTACCAATCCCTTTTCAGTCTTTGATAGCTCGGACTGTGCTCGATTTCAAGAGGTTACACCAGACGGCCTCAGTGGCTTTCCTGTATCCCAGATCCCGGAGTGCGGGGACCGGCAAAGAAGCTCGTCCCATCCCTCTGCCCAAACCTCCTTCCCCTCTTCCTTTTCTTTTTCACTGCTGGTTTATCAACAACCAACACAAGAACTCTTTAGTCTCTGTTGCTCAACTTGCTACCTCAACGTAACGTGCTGAAAGATTGGGTACAAGAAAGCTGGATCGCGTTAGACTTGCGAAGGGCCTGCGGGTACATCTTTACTAGACTACAAATGGGGAGGGGGAGGGTCTCCTCTGTCAAAATGCCAAATAGATGTGCGGCTTACCGGTAACTAGACCACAACACAATACTATACTATGATGATACCCTGAAGGGGTTCAGTCTAGAGTACATGGTAGGTCAAAGAATGCAAACGGACGGCCAGTGGCAAGGCGTCTTGTGGCCAGGGGCGTTGTTTGCCTCGGTACGTCATGGGCTACGCCATTGGCCAGCCCTGGAGGCCGCACAGGGCCCCAAGTCTCTTCTCTCCCATCACAGCCAAGCTTGGAAGTGACCAAAAGACGCCCGCCTGCCCTGCCGGTCGAGCCTCTTTTTGCCTGCTGGATTCAGACTCTTCGTCCGAAGCCTGAGCTCGCTTCGATTATACGTGGCAGCGGCCGACTTCATCGGTGCGTGCCCTACTCTCTCACTCTCTTCCATACAATACTCTCTCTTTCTCTTTCTATTTCTCTCTCTCTCTATTCGCCAGTTGCCAAGCGAATTGACTGTGAGACCTCAGCAAAAACAATCGCGTGCCACATCAAGCACGCGCGCCGCCAGCACAGTGGACAGCAGCAACAGCTTCAGACAGCCTACGAGCCCACTGCCTTCTTTGTGGCCTCAACTTTTGGTCTACTCTAGCACAGCCAAGGACCAAGCCAAAAAAAAAAAGTGAGAAAAAAATCTCGACCTCTTCCAGTCTCTCCTCAAGTTCCCCCGTTTCAGTCTCCAATCTCCACACGCGACTTCTACTGTGGCGTCTCCCTCGCACACCATAACCACAGCGACCATGTCTGGCGCGGGCCCCTCCCTACACCCAGGCGACTGGCCTGCACGAGCCATTTTCCAATTCCCCCCAGACCCTCTGCCGTTGCCGATTCCGCCTCCATGGCACGGCGAGCCGACGTTTGCGAACCCCTTCCCCATCCCCAAAGACATCTACCAGGGCGCGCTGTCCTACAAGGTCCCGTTGACCATCGCCTCCGTCTACTTTGTCACCGTCACCTACGTCAATTGGTACAATCGCCAGCATGGCAACAAGCCCTGGAGAATCGCAAAGACACGTCCCTTTTTCGCCTTTGTCATTTTCCACAACGTTTTCCTGGCCGTCTACTCTGCCATTACCTGCGTGGCCATGATTCGATGCCTCAAGCGCTCCTTTCCTCACTACAGCGAGCCCCACGCCGTTGTCGGCACCATTGATGCCCTGTGCAAGATTCACGGCCCCCGCGGTCTGGGCGATGCCGTCACCTACCACCCCGACAACAATACTTGGTCGAGCTTGAATGCCAAGGTCCTTGTGGGCAACAATGGCTTGCCAGACCCCTCTGACGTGGGCCGAATGTGGAACGAGGGTCTTGCGTTCTGGAGCTGGTGGTTCTACCTCTCCAAGTTCTACGAGGTTCTCGACACGGCCATCATCCTTGCCAAGGGCAAACGAAGCACGACCCTGCAGAAGTATCATCATGCCGGCGCCATGCTGTCCATGTGGGCTGGGATGCGCTTCATGTCCCCACCCATTTGGATGTTCGCACTAGTCAACTCTGGGATCCACGCTATGATGGTAGGCAGGAAGGACTCTGGTCTTCTCGACTGACATGCCGCTGACTGGTTCTAGTACACTTACTACACCATCTCCGCCCTTGGTTTCCGCGTACCGAATGTCGTCAAACGCACCCTCACCTCGCTCCAGATTACGCAGTTTTTGGTCGGTTCCGCCTTTGCTGCCATCCATCTATTCATCTCGTACACGGTGCCCGTCTCTGTCGCGTACAAGATCACCGAAAAGGTTGCGACCCAGTCAACCTCAGCAGTCGCTACAACCGTCTCCTCGGCAGTCTCCTCGGCCACGGAGACTGTCGCCACGGCTCTTCCAACCGTCACTGGTGTAGCTGTAGCCTTTCTCAGGAAGCTCATCTATCGCGCTGCAGGTGACGAAGGCCTTGCGGAAAATGTCGTGCTTCCCGGCCAGCCCGTTCCTGCCTACCAGTCTCAGCATGTGGTCCCCGCCGCCCCTTCGGAGCCTGCCCAACTCAATCCTGTGCAGAAGTTCTTCCACCAAAACGTGGAGCGAACCGTGTACCGTACCGAGTACCAGACCGTTCCTTGTGTTGACACTTCTGGCCAGGCTTTTGCCATCTATCTCAACTTGATCTACCTCGCACCCCTTACCATCCTGTTCATGCGTTTCTTCTTCAAGTCTTATCTTCGCCGCGCTCCCCCCACCAAGCAGGGTCAACCAAAATCCCGCACCATCTCTGATGCCGCTGGTGATGCAAAGCGCAGCGTGGAACGTGAATTTGACGCTCTTGACAAGACTGCAGAAGATGGAATCTCGACTGCTGTGAGCAGGGCCAGGGACGCTGTTCGCGGCAGGAAGGGCAATGCCAATGGCCATATCAAGGATGAAAGGCACGGTAGTTTGAGCCCAGCCAACAAGAAGTTTGTCGATAACGTCAAAAATAGGGTCAACCAGCAGCTCAAAGAGCTGGACGACAGCGCCGAGACCACGACGAAGAAGGCCAAGCAATTGGCCAATGACCTCGCCGGAAAGGCTCAGGATGTCAAGGGCAAGGTCACAGACTCATGGCAGGACGTGAAGAAGGAGGCAGGTCAGGCTGCGGAGAACGGCAGCCAGAGGGCCAAGCAGGAAGCCGACAAGGTTCAAGAGAACGCTGCTCAACAAACAAATACCAACAGCCCTAGCAAGAAGTCTCCGAAGAAACTTAGGAAAGCGGAGAACAAGGCGAGGCGTGAGGCTGAGGCTTCGCAGAACCTTGATGACGCGGCGGTAGAGAAGCCAGAGGCGGAAGCTGAGCCAAAGGACTTGAAGAACACCCTGGAGAAGGATGAAGGCAAGAATCTCATCTAGTTGAGAAGCCTCTGCATGAAAGAATGTCTTTATAAGATTCCACATACAGCTCATGTTGCTGCATAGAGCGGGAGAGCGATCTAGACTCAGCGCGCTGTTTTCGAACTGGGGTTGGCGTAGCATAGATCTTTCTGTAGGACTAGGGTGACCGACCATTATACCATGTACGTCTTTCTTCTCTCTGAGGAACAAAACGAAAAGTGCTGGGGGCGAGGCAATGGCCGGCTCAAATCACGACTCGACTCGTGTGGGCCTTAGGTTTTTTAGTTTTTTTTTGGTACAATATACTTCATGTGTGGGAGGGTTTCAGTAGATTAATTTTGCAAAGATTCATCTGTCAATACCTCGGCCAGACGTGGAATATGAAACAGGCCCTGTGTGACTTCTGCATCTGGTACAATCATGCTCGCAAGACGGTGTATGAAGTTGTTGCCCATCTATCTTGCTGACGACCGACAAATTGTCAACACTATAGGAGGAAGGAGATACATGTAGCAGATGCGTAATGTACTGAACTTTAGTCCCCATGAATCCTCACGCCAGTCATGACCCAACTAGCCTTTCTTCAGTCCCGCTAATCTCATTAACGACAGACTGGCCCTCCCGTAAGCCCGGTTTTTCTATGTTCTTTTCAACGAAGGATAGGCTCGACATCCCACGCGCTTCTACTCCCAGCACCCAAGTCGAATCGTTCCGGCCTCTTCTCCCGCCTCGCAACACTCATCTCTTGTCCTGCGCCAGCACCAGCCCGCGCCGTCTTCTTGGTCCCCGACCCACCCATACCCGCACCCCTCTTCATGGGCTCCCTGTTCCCGTCCTCGCCTTCATCATTACGCGCGAAGATCTGCAGCCCGCGAAGATGCGTATCTTTTCCATTCTGGTGGTTCTCAAGAATCTTGATTTGAACAAGGTGGGCGCGAAGAATGGGCATCTTGGGGGTTTTGCGACGGCGGTGGTGAGGATGTGGGGCATTGGCGGAGAGGACTGTGAAGGGGGTGCGGACAGGGCCTGTGGGGGGTGTTGTGAGGGTGGCATTGGTGGTGGTGGTGGTAGAGGAAGGGTCTAGGAGGGACGTTGCGTCATGGGGATGACGATGGCCTTGCGGTGTATGGTGGGCGATGAAATGGGTCGCGGTTGGTGTGGTGAGTTGAGGAGTCAATTGCATTACATCATCGTCGGAGGCTGTGCGCCGGGTTTGTGGGCGCGGGACGGCATTTTCAGCATCGGAGGATATGTTGAGGTTTCGGGGTCCATTGCCGCTGGTGGCCCCAGAGGAGTCATCTTGGATTGCGAGTTGGGCTTCTCTATTCTCGTCTTCGTCTTCGTCTTCACCTTCATCGTCTGAAGAGTCTGCGTCACCGACGCCGGAGAAGTCAGCCCAGACCCAACCTCGGGGGCTTTCGAGCCTCATCTCGCCCCATTCTTGGAGGTCGTTCATTCCACTGCCTGCGAGGAAGACGATGCGGGTGGGCGTGTAACTCTCATCTTGTTCAAAGTCGAGATAGAGTCGGAGACCTGCTATGCGGACGAGCTTGAAAAAATGGATATTGAGGTAATGAGGCTGGGGACCATCTGATTGCCAGAAGAGGGCAGTGGACGGGTGGCGTAACTGTGGTACTGAACAGCCAGGTTTGCTTGAGGAGGCGGTCCAGGCTGCAGAAGTGCTGATCTCGCGAAGGTAAGGTGGGGGAGGGTCAAGATTAGGTAGTTCAAGGCCAGGCTGATTTGGTGAGGCTGCGGGTTTGTTAGTGGCAGGATGTTGAGATTAAGCAATCAGCTCGACTTACCAAGCGCGTCGTCGTCGTCGTCCTGGAGATCGTCTTCTTCCTCAAATCCTACTTGCTGTTCGCCGAGGGTCTCACCATCATCATCATCGTGATCATTATTGATGGCGCGCCTACTCGCCGGAGTAATGTCGAGGTCGCTTTCTGTATCATCTGGGTCTTCAGCGGGGGGGAACTGGTACTGCGGTGCTTGTCGCCTCGTTGGCACCGGCATCGTCGCGTTTCCGTGCACGAATGGCAAGGCTGGGTATTTCCAAGCTCGGAAGAGCCAGCAGGATGGCGTCGGGATAATCGGTCTCAAAAGGTGTAGGCGAATCGCTCAAGTAGGAGGCGTGCAGGGATTGCGGATCTCTTTATGCAGGCGCGAGGATCGCGGGATCGGAGATGGCCAGGGTTGGCGATGAAAGTGAAGGAGAAAGCAAAGCGCAGTTCGTTTATATGGGTCTTCACCGTTTTCCTCGCAGCACTGTTTCGAAAAGCGTGCGGTCGGTTGATTTTGCAGGCGCGCAGAATCGTGGCGCCGGCCAAAAGGGACAGAAGGTACCTAGACAGTTGGAAAAGTGGTTAGGTACCTACACAGTACTGGCTGGCTGGCTGGCAGGAGACCTATTGTGTAGGTACCGGTAGGGACCTCGGGCCGACCAGGTGTCCGTCTTGTTTGTCTCGTATTCAATTCCAGATCCTTGCTCTTCTTTCTACAGCATGCTTTCTAGAGTACGGGCCATTCTGCTTCTCTCTTGATACGTGGGTTGGTGTTTACATGGACATGGTTAGTGCCACTGTAGTGAGCGGACGTCAGCCCTGGAAGCGCATCGGAAGCTAGTCTGTATTTAGATTAGCGCCGGGAAGCAGACGGACGTCCAAGCGTCCTGGAACTTGTCTGGCTCTCTCCATCTCTCCATCTCCTCCATCAAACTTTCCTCTTGCTCTCGCCGCATCCGTCGTACCGTATGCCACAGTCAATGTGCATGCTGTAAGCGCCTACTCATGCTGCCCATCGTTTCAATGGCATTTGCTCGACGTGCGCTGTACTACCCCAGATCTGCAAAGTCCTTTGGTTGTTTCACAGGTGCTAGTGAGCAACGGCATCATGGATTGCTTTTGGCTAGGCACAACGCCGAAATTGAAAGTCGTCAGCTCTCCTAGGCACCTGTAGTTGGATAACTTGCAAGGGATCTGATGGCGCTGCTTGTCGCCCTCGCTAGATCCGCCGGCGCGAGATCCATATCCCCCGCCTTTGCACGCGTGCATGGGTGTTTGGTATCAATCTGAAACCAAGGGAGGCAGTACTATGACTACATCGTCTTGTCAACTCTGATGAGCGGCGGAGGAAGGGGGAGTCTGTATCCTGCCCTTTTTTTGTTTTTTGTTTTTTTGCCCATCGAGCACTCGAATCGGCACATCTCAATGCTCAGGGTTGGTGTGACCCTGGGCATGCAGTGCACCGGACGTGGCGTGCAGGACGGTGCCGTGCAACCTTGGGCACTCTTCTTTGGACCTGCACATGATATGGAGTCTTCAAGCCAAATGGAAGCGCGGAAGCTCGCTCGCTTCCATCTTACTTCCCATGCAAGTCTACTTGAGGAAGCATTACCACTACTTCAGCTACGAAGCCTTGCTTCGTTCCATGAAAACCTACGTCTGCATACATTACTAACATGGCGACGCACTCATCTACCGAGTTGTCTCAATCCGGGAAAACGCAGGAGCGTATCACAATTGCTTTCCTTGTTCTAGCCTGGTTCTTCATTCTACTTCGAATATGGACGAGGACGATTGTTATCTCAAATTTTGGCTGGGGTGAGCAATCTCAAGTGCACGTATATTGGAGTGAACACTGATTTGATATGCCACACCGTAGACGACTCGACTATGATTCTGGCAGGTGTTAGTACTTACGTTACGTTTCAATGCAACACCGAATCTAACGGCTGTTCTAGATGATGTTTACAGTGTATTGTGCAGCTACGCTCTATATTGAAGCAAATGGCGGAGGAACGCACATAACGGATGTGTCGCATTTGCAGCTACTCACCAAGGTATTAGCCATCACCACCAGCCCATACATTCTCGGCTAATCATTATAGTGGGTTGTCGTGAGCGAAGCCTTGTATGTCATGGCCATGATGACACTGAAAATCTCCCTTGGAATCTTCTTCGCACGTATCGTCATCAAACCATGGCACTTCATGCTCATCTACATCACCGTTGGAGTCAACATTATCTCTTCCACAGCATCCTTTTTCTACGTCCTTTTTCGTTGCGGAACAGAACTCAACAACTACGTCCTGCGACAAATCCAGGACAAGTGTACTGCACAGCCGTTGGATCTCTTCATGGCATACCAATCCGCTAGCTTTATCACTCTGACCGACTTGATATTCCTGGTCCTTCCACTCATTATTCTCTGGAACGCGAATATGGACCGCAAATCGAAGATCTCAATTGGCTTTATTCTGTGTCTTGCCGCACTGTTAGTTCTCTTTCTAAGAACCAATTTGTTACGTTAACCTGACTCAATACACGCAGTGGTTGCATTTGCTCAATAATTCGTTTTCGCTACGTACGCGGTCTTACCGAAATCGATGGCTTCTTCTGGAACGCCGTGAACATCTCCATATGGTCCACCATCGAGGCCGGGGCCAGCCTCGTCGCTGGCTGTCTTGCTACTCTACGCCCTTTCCTTAAATGTTCCATCAAACTTGTACGAGAGAGAATTAGCATTGGGAAAAGTATTACTAAGGCGGTATCCAAGTCAGTGCGCTCGGAATCATCGACGAACCAAAGTTCAAAAGCGACTTCCACGCCAAAACTCAAAACAATAATTTCGAGTCCGAAGAGAGAAGAAGAGAGGGACAACAGGAATCGAAGTGGAACAATGGACACCGATGATCCAGAGTTCATGGATTTTCTCGCGCTACCGGGAGACGAGATCATACCATTGGAGGATTTACCTGGACGTGAGCGTAGAAGTACAGAGTTGATACTAAACAAGGGCGACAATGAGAGGGACATGGAGTTTTCATGGCCACTAGGGCCAGATGCTGTTGGAGAGGAGCCCAAAGAGCGGAGACGGAAGACAGCGCGTGCGAGTTGGTCGATGATTAGGGGAAGCAGCAGGGCGGCTGAGGAACCTCGCTCTGAGCCTCTTTCAGCAGGTGCGAGAGATGATAAAGTGGATGAGGTATAGGTGTGTTGTGCAACTACAAAAGAACAAAAATGGCCATATACGCAGCTTACTCGTTTTGCCAATTATTCTGTCATTCCACTTGGTGTTTACTATACTTTATTCTTCTCAGAAAGGCGGTGGACTCAGATCCAACCCTTCGACGTACAGCTTGAAGCTATCAGATCTCGAGTAACTGCCCCCAACGTCTAGATCTAATCTCCCCCTCTCACAATCTTCAAAGTCCACGTCGGAAATCAGCAATTCGTCTTCCTTCTCCCAGACTGGTCCAGCGAGAACATCGCCTAGTGGTGATACAATCATTGAGCCGCCGCGAGATACAAACTCTTGGCCATCAGCAAAACACGAATTGATCGCAGCAATAGGCTGCTGTTTAGGGCTCGAGATCTGCGACTCTTCGTCTGGATATGGAGAGGAGTCAATAGCTGATTCGTCGTCGTTCGTTTTGATGGGCAGGCAAATTTCATGACCTTCCTCAGTTCTAGTGATTGTACTCTTGCGTCTTCCACTGCCAGTGGGCTGCTCCGAGCGGATTTGATCTACGCTTTGAGAACTGCTCTGCATCTGAAGAGCATCTCCTTTCTTCTCTCCTGTTATCCATTTAGGGAGATGCTTTTTCTTGACACATTGGTTCGCACTGAGCACGAAGCATCGACCTTCACAGCCCACTGTTCTCATTAGACTTGCCCATGCATCCCTTGCGTCTGCCGTAGGTGCAAGCCACAGATTGACATTCTGTGCATACAGGCTTTGTCGCAACAATGGCATGTAATTCTCCCAGCAAATGGCGCTTCCCATTGTCAATCTTACGCCCTTGATTTCCGTTGTAACTGCCCTCAGCGTACTCGCCGATCCTTGACCCCAAATCAGCCTCTCAGACCCCGTGGGCATAACCTTCCTCCTCTTGCCCAAAACGCCCAACTTTGGACACACAAATACGACGCCGCAATACAACGTGCCTCCACTCTTCTCTACAAGCCCCGTCACAACAAATACCCCCGTTTCTCGCGCAATCCTCTCCAACTCCTCTCTCGTCCCATCACCACGGTACTCCTTGCCACGAGGCAGCTCCAACTTGCGGTCTAGCCAGGCCGCCCCGGCGCCTGCAGGTGTATCGCCGAGATCGACAGCATCGTGGAAATAGGCGAGGAATTGATCGCGACCAGACGGAGCGCGAGCGCCCACCGCAGCACCAAAGGAACAAGTACGGGGGTATCCGCCAAGATAGGCTTCAGGAAAGAGGAGCACATCGATACCCAGGGAGGCGGCGCGTTTGGTGGTGGCTTCGAGGGCGGCGAGGGTTTCTGCAGTGGTCGATAGGGTGCGACTTTGCGCTGAAGCTAACTTGAGCAGCTGGGGCATGGCTTTTGGTAGTAAGCGTGATGATAGTGGTAAGGGTGGTGGTAATGGCAAGAGTGTGGTGGCGTCGGAAGAGGGGTATGACGTGTGTGCCAAGCTAGAAGGTTGGAACAAGGGGAATATGTCAACAGGGGCTACGGTTCTTTAAAGAGGCTCGCTTCAGAATGATGAAGATTACAACTTATATCCTGTCTCGAGTTTGTGTTCGGAGCATACGGGCTAAGCAATTGTTAAGTATTCCGAAAGGTAAGAGTATCTTCTGGTACCAATACACTATTTTTAACTGGGTAGCTGTCACTGCCCCGCTCACCCCACTTCCGAGGTATACGGAAGATCTTACAAGTGGAGTACCCAGAAGGTGCCCAACAGAGCAAATGCCTATTGTGTCTCAATAAGACTTTGCTATGGAGCCCTAGGTAGATACATCATACGTACACGGTACAGTTTGTTCAGCGCCACCAGATTCAGCGTCGCCAACATCTGCCGCTGTCGCTCAAGCCTTGCATCTTTGCATCTATGCCTCTACTCAACTGCTACGCCGCCCTGATGGAGAGTATACTGTCATAGTACCCAATTGGGCATGTCGTCTTGTTCAGCTCGAGATGTTTTGTTTGTTTATGATAGAAGGCTATTCATCGCAGGTACATCGGACATGTGTTTTAGCATAAGCCCACAATACTGATAGCAAGGTATATATGCGTTACAATCAATACGACTCTAGGAAATTAACAAGCCAAAGCAACGATTGGCAGTGACATGTAGATGTCCAGATCGCGAAGGGCTTTTTTGACCTCAGTGCATGGAAACAGACTCTGGTTTTGAAATGACGAGGGATGATTATGAGGCTTCAAGTCGTGATGGAACTACACCTATTCACAGTGGTTTTTTAAGATCAATTAGACAGAAAAGACGAAATACCAGATCGTAGTGTCGGGCATCTGCCGGGCATCAAATGCATCGCTGAGGTTGTGGTTGGTGGCAGCACACAGGACCGTGATTAAAAAGGACGCTGCTAAGATCAAATTCTCGTATGCTTTGCCTCATGGCGATTGACTCCACCATTGGGCCATTCATTGACGCTCTAAGTGTGTTCTCCTCCGACACCAATACTAAGTTTGGAGCTGACTCGTACATACTGGATCTGAACAGCTCTTGGAAATCAACTACATAAGCGAGTCCACCAGTCTGCCAAGACCACACTACGATGCATCTTCTGCGCAATATAGAGTAATTTCATGGAGAATGCTAGTTAGTAGTAGGCAATCGTAATATTGGGACTTCTTCAGTCGGGAACACCTCTACTTCTGGCGTAGGATCATCATATTGGTGAGCAAGATTACCTATTTACCAATAATCTACTGATACTGATTAGGTCACGGTTGTCAACCGCATAGCTAACTACACACATCTTTCACCGCCTACAGACAGAATACACTGTTCCACGAACGTGAACAATGTCTTGATTGTAGTGTAACGACCTCATCTTCTCAACTGCCAACCAAAAAAAAAAGAACAAGAGACGCAGAAGGAAAGAGCAACAAGACTGCCATTTAAGCCCCCCTTGACCTACACAACCACCCTTCACAAACCGCATTTGAACATCTCAATATCCCCAAGCCACCCCTCAACTATGGTACCCACGCAAACCCCAACCCTAGAGTCGCATCTCTCCATCCTCCTACAGAACTCCCCAACAAGACACACCCAACTCCGCACTTCTGTCCTTCCTTCACTGCTCCAAGCCATCGGCGAAATCGCAAGCACTCTGCGCTCCTCCTCTCAAGTCTGCCAAGTCGGCACCGCCAATGCCTTCGGCGATAATCAGCTCAATGTCGACGTCATCGCAGAATCGCACATCCGCGCTGCTATCTCAGCCACGCCCTCCATCGTCACCGCAAGCAGCGAAGAGGACCCGATTGAGCGCTCATCGAGAGATTCAAGTCTCGGCGAGCAATCCCAGGATAGTGAAATCTACACGCTCGCTTTTGATCCTCTGGACGGTTCGAGCATCATTGATGCGAACTGGAGTGTAGGCTGTATAATCGGCCTGTGGACCGGTGCCTCTGCCCTGTATGCTGCCCCTGATGAATGCCAGATTGCAAGTATACTGGGCGTCTTTGGGCCGCGCACCAGCGCTATTGTAGCACTGCGAATCCCAGGAATAGGAGAGCCGACGTGCTTTGAAGTCGGAATCTCACCACTGAAGGCTGATGATGGGTTGTTTGTGCTGGAAGTCGTGCGGCAGCATATCGAGTTGGCCCCTCCGCCGTTTACAACGCGGTATTTTGCGCCGGCAAATATGCGTGCTGCGGCCGAGGATGAGCGGTATAGAGAGCTCGTTACGCACTTCGTAATGGAGAAGTATACGCTGAGGTATAGTGGCGGATTGGTGCCAGATGTTGTGCACGCGTTGGTCAAGGGTCATGGCGTTTATGTCTCCCCTGTCACAGAGAAGAGCAAGGCCAAGTTGAGGAGGCTGTATGAGTTGGCTCCTATAGCGTTGATTGTGGAGTCTGCTGGAGGACTGGCAATTGATCCATCAAGTGGAGAGAGGATACTGGCGCGGGAAGTCAAAGATACTGATGAGAGGGGAGGATTAGTGTGTGGGAGTAAGGATGAGGTTGTGTCTGTTATAGAGAAGCTGAGACCGCAATAGCACAGTAGCAGCTTACAGAGGAGGGTCTACATCCGAGGTAATCTGCAGTGTTCATGGTGCAGACTGCTGACCTCCATAGAGGTGCCCGGCGAATCCTGCATAGTAGTACATTGGCACCAAGTCACGATGTGTACAAAAAGGAAAAACATGCAACTATTGTTGAGTGGTGTTGTGATAGTGAACACAACAATCCCACTGCTTTTCCGCAGCTTCACCTACATACATGGACATCTCAGCCATCTTAAAACCGCCTTATCATTATCAATTGACCCCATGAAAGAAAAACACCTTGACCTCCCATCCATATCAAAACAAACTCTCATGCCACTGTCCATGAAAGCAGACCATTCAATTACCATTCAACGCCAATGCCGTACTCCCACACGATCCAACTCCCATTTCCCCATCAAGATCAGACAGAAAGAAAAATGGAATACTTCGAGGAGTGATACATACCGAAAATCTAGAACCTGGAAGCTGCAGCTCCCCAAAGAGAGTTGTAGATCTTGTCGACTACGTACGATGCACGGATGACGCGGTGGTTGAAGTTGCGACCGTTCAGACCTTGAAGAGCTTTCTCACCGCCAGTGACGGAATCAAACTTGACGTAGATGTCACCGTCAGTGTTGGGGTCCACGGCGATGTGGACGACCCTGCCGTACTTCTTGTCACACTCCGCCTTGACTTCTGTCTCGAGCCCTTTGATCCAGTTGGGTCCGAATGCTGCCTGCTCCCTAGACGAATCGTCAGCTTGGAGAGCAGTCCGAAATGAACGGGCAAAGTACTGGTCAGCATCAAATGCATTTTCGATCTTGATACATTTGGACGCCATTCTGTCAACAACGGGAACACGAGGCTTGCTAACGACAGGCTGGGCGCCGTGCTTAGCAACCTCGGGGCCATCGCGACGAGCTAAAGCATCCATTAGCTTGCTACGGTCGTAGGTCTTGAAGTTTACACCGGCGACGTCAGTATCGTCAAGGGCAGAGGCACCACTGACGCCACGATCGTCCTTGCTGTGAGTGCGATCAAAGATACCACCGGAGCCACCGGCATAGGCGCCACGGCCACCAGCTCCACTGAATGCTGAGCCTTGGTAGCTCTGAGCCTGCTGGGTAAATGTACGCAGAAGGTTAGCAGTCGACTCGGGGGTGAACTTGTCGTTACCAAGACCAACACGGATCTGGCGACCGGCAAGCTCAAAGCCATTCATTTCTGCAAGAGCATCTTTAGCGTGGGTAGGATCAACGAATCTATAGAGCGGTTAGTAATTGTGGATGATGAAGATATGGGTATTCCTACTGGACAAAGCCGTAGCCCTTGGATCGGCCTGGGTTCAACTCATCGCGCTGGAGTATGACCTGCTCGAGTTCGCCGTAGGGCTCGAAAATCTCCTGCAGATCCTTCTCAGTCACACTAAAGTGAATGTTACCAACATAGAGACGATGGAAGGGGGCACCATTGGCACCGGGAGCGGCTCCACCCTCGGAGGGACGAGCAGCGCGGTTCTTCTCGGCTTCTGTAAGCTGTGCAATGATAGGCACGCCCTTGAGCTTCTGGCCAGTGAGCTCCAGTGCCTTCGGGACAGATTCTTCTTCTTTGAACTCGACGTAGCCGACGCTATTTCAAAAGTCAGTCATTGAGGCCATGGCACCACAGAGAGAGAGAGGCAGGCTTACCCTTTGGAACGGCCCGTCACACGATCCTTGACAATCTGGGCTTCAACAACAGGGCCAACCGTCTCGAAGAAGGAGCGCAAGTGGCGGGTTTCGGCACGCTGGGAGATCTGCTGCACAAAGATAGTACGCTTGTCACGGTCGTCTTCTGTCACTTCAGGCTCAGGTGTCTTGCGGCTTAACCGGCGGTCATCAGCACCATTGCGACGGCGGTCTCGCTGAGACACAGGTGAACGATTGCGCGTGAACCTGTCATCAGCACGATCACGGCGGGGCGAGCGAGAGCGGGCACGACCTCCTCCGCTGTAGTAGTCGCCGCCGCCGCCACGGTCCCTACGGCCTCCGCGGAATCGGTCGCGCGAGCTGCTACGACGGGGCCTATCACGGTCTTCATCTGTGTCAGCACCTCCTTTGCTTGATCGAGGACGGCTCCCATCTCTTCGCCGGTGGTCTCGGTCGCGGCTTCTGCGCCGGCCTCCATTGGACTCACGATGACGGTCCCTGCTCCTGTCGCGGTCGTAGCGATCACCGTGGCGGTCGCGGTCGTCGCGGCGGCGGTCGGGATCGCGCGCCTCGCTGCTGGCCTTGCTCTCGGCGTCCCTCATCTGCACCTCGCTCTCGAGGCGAGCCTCTTCGAGAAGGGCGTCGACGGCGTCAACAGTAGCCATGGCGTCGGGCGGGTCCTAGCTCTCGATAAGTGTTCCTGGTAGGAGTGATGTAGTGCGCGCAGTCACTTCACTGCAATGGGCGAAAGTGGGTGCGACGAGCTTGACGCTCTGATACGATATTTCAATTGCTGTACTGAGCCGGCACGCCAACAAGACAGCTGTCACGGCAAGCAAGGCTCGCTGACGATTTGACTGTCTGTAGCTGATCGCACGCGGAAACTGTATGCTTTTGACTGATGCTCTGCGGGTTGCTCACGAAGTCGTCGTTGTGAGGTGGAGGCAAAGTGAGAGCGTTGCAGCTGGCGAGCCAGGATTTCTATATTGGCGTGGAGGGGGCCGGGCGCCTTGGCAACAACGCTACTCGGATCACGTGAGGGATCCAAACGGCCTCGCAGCTCAACAGCCTCCACGAAGGAAGGGGCGCAACAACAGAGGAAGGAGCGCAACAGTCAGAGGCAAGAACACATACTATACGCAGGACGAGCACGGCCCATTGTCGCTGCTACTTGCTTGTTTCTTGCATTAAGATTAACTACTCTAACAAGTACATGACGTCATTAGTGCTGCATTGGATGCGCTGCCAGCTGGCACGAGAATATCCCCAAGGCTGTTGTGTAGGCTAGAAATATCCCCCAAAAAACAAATTCGATAAACGCCCTTCCATGCCTGAAAGATACCCATAGTGACCGGAAGAATGAGCAAGCAGAGTCCAAATTATGTCGCCTTGATGACCTTGGGAGGAGTCATTTCCAACTCGGTGCCAAACACCCAGTCCCAGAAGCGGCTGGTCACTCCAAAGCCGTTTTGATAGTCAGCAAAGTGGTGCTTGAGATGGTATTTCTTGAGCTGTTGGTAGTAAGGAGGGAGCCTTTAAGGGATTAGCGGTCTTTCTGGCGCGAGGTTGCGGGCCAACTTACTTCTGGTGGTGGAGGAAGTAATGCGTCATGTCGTAACAGGTGTAGCCAAAAATACCTCCACAATAGGCAGCCAATGCACCGTACCAATTCCAGGAAATAACGGCGTGCGCAAACTTCCAGAACGGTGCTGCCAGAACAACAAACAAGGTTGGTGGCATGACAAGTCTGTATCTGTCCATGGGAAGGTAGTGATGAATGCCGTGGAGAAGGAAGTGGAGGGTGAGCGCAACACGGTTGTTGGGCAGGTGACTACCCATTGTCAGTAAGGATTCGTCTGTGTATATGCCCCCAATGTACAACACTTACTCGTCCAAGTGGAACAAGCATCGATGAAGGACGTATTCCACAATGGTCCAGAAGCCCAGCCCAAAGGTCCAGTAACCTGCCAGAGCTGGCGCAGAGCCGAGGCCGAGGAAAGCGACTGTTGTCCCGTATGCAACGCAAGGCCACCACAGTGTTGGCACCACCCACCACGGTGTCTTGCTGAGAGGCTCGAGGAAGTTTCCAAAAAGAGGTGCAGAGTCACCGCCTTTGTAGTGGCGCGGTCTGTGGACTTGCTCTAGATAAAAGTCCTTTTCGAAGCCGCCATTCCAGACTTGCATAAAGAGTGGCCTGTTGAGATCGAGGAATTTGTGCTCCTTGTAATCCTTGGTTGGGTCCGTCTCTTTGGAAAGATCCTCCTCCGATGACATGCCTGTGGCAACGTACAATGGCTTGCCCGTGAGCTCAATGGTGCCCACCTCCGTGGGTGGCAAAGGCAAGCTGTCCGCGGGTTTGGCGCTCTTCACGGCCCCATTCATGACTGGCTCCGTAGCCATGAAGCCGATGAGACTCTCGTCCAGAATCTCGTAGGCAGCATCGGAATGGGTATGCGACTGCTCATCCTTCAAAATGGCCTCGATATCCTTTCCACCATACTCCAAGATGAATTCTGGACCGCCGGGATGGCTTTCGAGAAAGTCGGTGACATTGTAGACTTTGGTACCGATGGTAACATAGCAGGACTCCTTGCTGCTGTGAGCGCGTACTTCAGCAGCCGGGATGGCCGGAAGGGTGCGGCCCGGCATGGTTGTGGTTGCAGACATGTGGTCTCCTGGGGAGAGGCCGAAGATGCGGTGCCTGTAGCCGTGGCTTTGGGTGCGTAGTGTAGGAGGAATTTGGTGGAGGCTGATTTCGCGAGGTTGTACGTGAAGTCTGTCTCGAGGGGCGATGTCTATAGGGTTGAGTGCTGTGGCAACAAAATTGTGGATGCTCAAAAGGGCAAGTGCAAATTGTGATTGCCCAGGAGAAGCCGTGAGCTGTAGAGAGGCTGCCGATGTGGAGGAGGGCAAAGGGTAGGAGGAATGCAGGCTGCAGTGTGGACAGGAAGAAGGTAACAGTCCCAAGTAGTGAAGAGGTAGATGGTTAGTAGTCAAGGGACTTGCTGCAAGGAACTCGGTAATCGTCAGGAGATGGCCAAGAGATGGCTCACCGCGCGCCGATCTCACCACCGCCAGCTAATGGTGGCGAGACCGGGAAGCCTCGCCTTTCCGTTCTCCGACAAGGTCCGCAAAATCAGTCTTGTGGTTTTTCCCTGTCCACGAAAGGGGGGATGTAATAATTTCGTCGTTGCCCCGACGAGGACCGTCACAAGGTTGAAGGTAGCAAGGTTCAGGTTCCGTGTCTCCAATGGCGGGCGAAGCCCTCTGTGCGAGGTTTTTCATCAGGTCCTCTATCACAGGCGCAAACACCCAGCCAACGAACATGTGCACTGTTCATCTCCGTGCAAGACCCAGCAAACAACAATTTCATGACAACAGAGTCAGTCCCTTGAACCGTCCGTTGTAGATTGACGTTGACACGCGCCATTACAGAACCAGGAACGGGGGCTCTCAATAGGGCATGCTTTTTGAAGGGAGTGCTCTTGGCGGCTCTGGCGGCTCTGCAGAGGCTCTGAGCCTGACATCTCAGCCCTGCCGAGGGATATCCCCCCTGGGTCTTGCGTCACCACCAACCAACCAACCAACCAACCACCCAACCACCATGGCCATGTTGCGACTGCCTCACAATGTCAAGCGTCGACCCATCTGTTGCCTTGTTTCTTGACTGCCTGCCAAAAGGAGGTTACTGGCCAACTGGCCTACTTGATCCTCCTCCATCATGCTCCACCTCCGCACCCACCTTTCGACTTTACAAAACCTCCACCCTTCTTGCAGGCCTGGAGCCTCCTCCCTCCCCTCTCCCATTCCTCGATCCTGACCCTTATCCATTGAAAACGTATACCCCACCAGACAGACTGCGCTCAATACTCCCTATGCCCTAGGCGCGCAACTCGCTTTCAATCATGTCGATATTGGCCCCATGCCGCCATTCAGTCGCAGTCGCGCAGATATGCACCACCTTCCTGTTGCTGTTCTCCGCACTGCATGTTGCCGAGGGCGTACATCACATGGCCATCAAGACTCCGCGCAAGCAACTTCGCCGAAAATTGGACATAACACCCTTGTTGGTCACCAATAACTGTCCTGAGAAGATTTGGCCAGGCATCTCTACCCAGTCTGGACAGGGACCGAGCGAGAATGGCTTTGAGCTGGAGCCTGGGGAGACCAAGAACCAGACCGTGTCGGAGGATTGGCAGGGCCGAGTTTGGGGACGAACCAATTGCACATTCAATAGTGACGGTTCTGGCCCAGCGTCTGGGAGTGGAAAGGCTTGCTACTCGGGCGACTGCTATGGCAGACTGAATTGTCAGGTTGGAGTGAGTGTCCGCTTGATTCTTCAGCAGAGTTCTGCCAACTCACCTGCATCTAGGGCGACGTGCCCGTTTCCCTGGCAGAATTCACCTTGGACGCCGGGGATGGTCATACTTACTACGACATCTCGTTGGTCGACGGCTACAACATACCCATCGCAATCGTCTTACAGCCACTTGAAAACGTCACCCTCGACGACATCCCGCCGAATTTGACAAACCCTTCCTGTCAAGGAACAGACGGTCTACTAGCAACAAAGGGCTACGATCCATACCCCGAGCATCCCAACTTTCTGCGAACAAATTCCTCTTTCGCGCTTCCCTGGGAAGTCGAGGTAGACGAGCAAGAAATCTCCCGCTGGTGTCCGTGGGATCTGCAACAATCACCCCCCGATAAGCCAGGAGACGGTGTATACCCTTATCCCGACGATGATATCCAAAGACCACTGTTCAACCCCTGTTTTTCGGCTTGTGCGAAGAACAACAAACCACAAGACTGCTGTACGGGAGAGTATAATTCGGCCAGCAAGTGCTCACCCGGTGATTACTCCAAGAATGTGAAAAAAGTCTGCCCTGATGCCTACAGTTTTGGTATGTGTAGCCCTCTGCATTCATGATGAGTCGACCTCGAGGACTAATGCAAAGACTAAAAGCGTTTGACGACCAGACTTCCACGTTCATCATCCCTTCCGGAGCAGGCTTCGAAGTCGTTTTCTGCCCAGGCGCCCGCTCAACAAGAATCATCGACACCAGCCTTGCGGAGATGCAGGCGCTGTCTCAGCGCGGTAGAGTGGATAAGCAGGCGGCCTTGAGGCTCACAAAGCGCAGACAGGAGATGTTTGGACCAAGTGGCACAGCCGGACTGGTACAGTTAAATCGTGCCCTGCTTGGCGTGTCTGCTGCTAGTATAGTGTTGTCGTGGGTAGTCTTGTTCGATTGAACGGTCCCCTTTTTGGACCAGATTTTTTTTATGAATGCCTGGATCGCCGTATACTTTGATCACGATATTCTGTTGTTCCTTGAATGCTGCAGCCCGACCGGGACGAATGTACATGGCCGGACGTGCGTGAATGATCCAGCGTTGACTCAAATGGCAACGGAGTAAAGGCAGCTGACGTCCGCGTCCACAAAGACGTATGCAAGGCATGCAGTGTTCAGAAAGCGAAACCTTGCCCGTTCTCGGGCGTTCCCGAGGAACTGAGGCTGTTGCGCGTAGACGAAGACGAAGACGTATGTACATATAGTAGGTACCGAGACGTTGCACGGCACTATGCACGGCACCATACACACACATCGAATCCCGTGCGACGTGGGGTCCACCCGCTCGGAAAACTTCCGCCATGCCTTTAACCACCATGACTTTCTTTATTGATCACGGAGGAAGGAAATCCGATTCAGACTGTAATGCTATGCTCTCTGCGAATGCTCCGCACGCCGTCGAAACGGCAGATACCACCGCCTTGGGACCATATTTTCCGACTTCTAATCCACAAACGGCGAACTCCTAACCTCATCTAGTGCGGAGTTACTTTCCCGTGTACCTTTACTGCGTGACTTCATATGTGCTCCGAGCTGTCTGAACGAGCTCAATACGGGATGCATCGCTCCGAACCAAGTCCACCGTGTGAGATAACTTCGGCACAAGCCCCTCCAGATTGAATCAAGAGAAAAGGTCGTCTCTGCTCACCTAGGTACCCCGCCTACTTGGCAGGACAATTGACAACTTCACAGCTCGCGCGACACGGTCTTCCACTCACATATTTTGAAGCCTCCATCACCATGGCGAAAGCGCAGGCACTGAATGTACAGCCGTTGACGGATGAATGGAGTTTCAAGCAGGCTGATGATGAGGCTGAGAATGCTTGGATGGCAGTCAAGAGAGTGCCAACCAATGTTCATCTTGACTTGATTGAGCATGGCAAGTATGTGTCATGGGCTCCAAACAGAAGCTACTGCATGGGCACATGGTTAATCGGCAGCTAGGATTCCCGATCCCTTCCTGGGTTTCAATGAATTACAGGCAGAGTGGGTGGCAGACAAGGCATGGACATACAGAGTGGCGCTGCCCAAAATATCAAGGCCAAAAGACGGTATAACTCACGTACTAGCTTTCGATGGTCTTGACACGTTTGCAACCGTCAAACTAAACAACCTAATCATCTTGGAAAGCGATAACATGTTCATACCACATCGGGTTGATGTAACTGGCAAATTGAACCCGGACCAAGAGAACACATTAGAGATCACCTTCAAATCCGCCCGATTGGAAGCCATCAAGATCAAGGAAAAATATCCGGATCATCAATGGGTGGGATTCAATGGTGACATGTCTAGGCTTGCTGTGAGGAAGGCACAGTATCACTGGGGATGGGATTGGGGTCCAATACTCAACACCTGCGGTCCTTGGAGGGAATTACGATTGGAGACCTATGAAGCACGCATCAGTGACCTGCGCGTCGACTACACCCTCGACGAGAGCTTGAAAGTTGTCCGAGGCACCCTCAGGACGAAAATTGATGGCGCGTCTGCAAAAAGTGTAAACTTCGTAGTGTACGATGAAGACAAGCTGGTATTCAAAGAATCAGCAATTGTCAATGACGGTCTAGCCAAGGTCGAATTCCACGTCAACAACCCGAAACTATGGTTCCCGCATGGGTACGGAGAACAGCCTCTTTACAAAGTCACAGCGACAGTGACTGCAGAGGATGTGGACCTGCATCAAGTAACGCGGCGGACTGGCTTCCGACGGGGTGAGCTCATCCAGGAGCACGATACTATTGGCAAGAGTTTTTATTTCCGCGTAAACGGGGTTGACGTGTTCTGTGGTGGCTCAGACTGGATTCCTGCAGACTCTTTCACACCAAGGGTCACGGAAGAAAAGTACCGCAAGTGGCTCGAGATGATGGTTGACGGCTATCAGATAATGATACGCATTTGGGGCGGCGGAATCTGGGAAGAGGACGTGTTCTACGACATCTGTGATGAGCTTGGTGTGTTGGTGTGGCAAGACTTCATGTTTGGTTGTGGCAACTATCCCGCTTTCCCAAAGATCCTGAAATCGATCGAAGATGAATGCACCGCCAATGTGGCGCGATTGCGACACCACCCCTCGATCATCATTTACGCCGGGAACAACGAGGACTACCAGGTGCAAGAATCATTTGGGTTGACATACAATTACGAGGACAAAGACCCAGAGAGCTGGCTCCACTCAGACTTTCCTGCACGATACGTATACGAAAAGGCGAGTGTGCACAGTCTTGTCGATACTCTTGATCTATGCTGACGATGCAGTGACATTAGCTGCTGCCTGAAGTCGTCGCGGCCGAGAGTCCACATGTCCCATATCACCCAGGATCACCATGGGGTGACGGCCTGAAGACGTCGAATCCCACAGTGGGCGACATGCATCAATGGAATGGTAAGACCAGCGCGCATGGCCCGATTAAAGTTTACTAGACTCATCAGACTAACCAATGTACAAAGTATGGCATGGGACACAGGAAAAGTACCAGATCTTCGACACGCTCGGCGGCCGATTCAATAGCGAGTTCGGCATGGAAGCATTCCCTCACATCGATACTGTCAGATATTGGTGTACGGATCCTGCACAACTATACCCCCAAAGTCACATGCTAGACTTTCACAACAAGGCAGACGGACATGAGCGCAGGATAGCGACGTATCTGGTCGAGAACTTCCGCTCTAAGACTGACTTGGAGGTACGTTCCATGACAAGAGTTGCTGGCTTACTCTCCCTGCTTCATAATGGACAAGCAGACTAGTGGATCCTGTTATACCCCGCACCCCTGCTGACAGCATACATAGTCGTTTATTCATCTGACACAGCTATCCCAAGCCGAAGCTTTGATGTTCGGTTACCGAGGTTGGCGACGTCAGTGGGGTCAGGACCGCCATTGCGGTGGTGCGCTCGTCTGGCAGCTCAACGACTGTTGGCCCGTCACGTCTTGGTCTATTGTCGATTACTTCCAGCGAAAGAAGCCCGCTTATTATGCAATGCGTCGGGTCCTTGCCCCTATTGCTATTGCCGTTAAGCGAGCGCATTTTGATTGGAGTGTTGTGCATGCGCGAGTCCCCAAGCAGAGTGCATACGAGGTTTGGGTTGCAAGTCAGCAGCTGGAGGAAGTGGTCGCGACTATTGAGTTGCGATATATCAGCATCAAGAGCGGGAAGGAGATAAAGGATAAGATCACCAAGAGGGATGTGATACTGGTGGCAAATGGCACAACCGATATCCTCTCAGGCACGATCGACAACCGGAACGAAGAACCGCATGTGTTAGCCGTAAGGATATGGGTTGATGGCGAGATCGTTTCGCGAGATGTCGATTGGCCGCAACCTCTGAAGTACCTGGATTTTGAGGATCGCGGCCTGGAAGTAATACCTAAAGGCGATACCATCCTGGTCAAGGCGTCGAAACCTACCAAGGGCCTTGTCTTTGAGGAGCGCTCGGGCGTTCTCGTGCATGACAGCGCTATTGATGTTGTACCTGGCGATGAACAGATCATCAAAGTGAAGGGTCTCGGTGAGCAAGATCACCCGCTAAAATGGACGTTCCTCGGCAAAGATTGAAGGTGAGTGCCTGAATGGGGGGGACTTTGACCACGGCCCGATCGCAATTGGGTATGCCCATCAGGAATGAATACTGTTTAGAAATGGGTAAAGCAACGAAATTGAAAGAGTGTCTTCGCTGCATGCTTACTGTGAAGCTTGGAGGGAAACAAGCTGACAGGGGACCGAGGATCGGTCATTTTGCATTGATGGTGATTACTCCAGATAATGAAATACGGATAGGCCGCCCAGCTTGCCCTCGTCCTCGTAGGGAACGCAGTGGGCGTGCGACTTGACGTGCTTAGCCTCTTTGTATTCTCTGTACCAAACCACAGTCGCCCCAGTAGTGGTTCAAAAATCTGACTAGGGATGACCAGTATAGTTAGTAGTACACCAGATTTGGTCCGGCCATCGGTATGATACAAGCATCGGGATCTACCCGGCAAGGACACAAATCGACGTGCAAAAGTCCTGTATACAGGAACCTGGAACTCTGCAACGGCACCACTACAGCCCAGGGAAGTGGCCAAATCAGTGTCTATGCTGGTGCAGGCGATGTCGAGCAGAGTTCAGACGTTCTCACCCAATGCATAAGTTGAAACTCCTATAGGCCTCCTCGTTCACTGGTCTAGCATCCACGCCAAGACTTCGATATGAAATGTCGTCTATCGAGCATGCCGGGCTTCCAGGATCAATTAATCGCTTTGCCGGCTACTGGTTGGCATATGCCTGCAATTTGGGGAGGGGGGAGCGGAGCGGGGGCGTTATCCTTCAGGCTTCATGCAGCCCAGTCGCATGTTGCAAACTGCCGCCACGTACGACGCAGGCTCAACCTCGACCCGGACTCTGGATGACTTCGTTGTGCTGGTGTTCATGCCGGCAGAAGCACCTCGCGAAGAAGAGATTGCGTGTGCGCGGATTGTACGGCGCCCAGGCGTGGGTTGCTGACTCCTCTTCCCGAGGTACCGTACGGTAAGACGTGGTAGCTCACAAACAGGTGTAGTACTCAGTAGGTTACCGACCCATCGTACCGTACCGGTAGGTATGCAGTTGATCTTCACCCATCATCATCATCCACCTTAGCATGTGCACGTCTTTCTCGCCTGTCACAGGTACAGCGTACAGCGTCAATGCCCTGCAAGCAATTCAATCTGAACAGACGTGCAGTATCGGGGACCTACACAATACTAGCAGTGCTGGCGCATGATGAGGCCAGCCATGTTTCGTTGTTTCGTGGCCATGAATCGCCATCTTCCAAGGGCCGTTCTTCTGGAGACCTTCTCGAACGCGCCGCCAACATGACATATGCTGATTTTCAATGTCAATCTCGCTTGGCTTTGCGAGGCAACTCTTCCCGTCCGCCCGTCTCCAACGGTCGCCTGTCTCTGCTCGTCCACCAGGTAGTCCCGCTGCATGTGGTCAGGAAGAGTCAAGGTACCTACTAGGTAGGCATGGCATAATGCGGGGAGTGGGGGGGTGTCGTCTTTTCGCAGCCTACTACCGGTACTACTACTACCTACTCTACTCTACATAGCCCAATGTCCACCGATCACTCTAAAGGGCCAGCCCATCATCACTCCAGTCTCCGGCTAGGTAGGCCAGAATCATCAGTCGCCCGTGCACCTCGACCTCGCCTGTGCAGGCTTATGACGATACTGCTCCGGCTCTGGGAACGAGAGGCGACTTTCCTCTGACAATACTTCGGCCTGCAGATGACATGCCCACTACCAAAACTCTACCGGCCGCTCTGATATATCAACCCTGGTTTGTCTATTTTGGCTTCGGTCTCTTCTTGCGTCGCGACACTCTCGTACTCTAGCATCGTTGGCATCGCCAATTTGACCGAACAAGAGAAGGTCTGGGTAGTCGACACAGGCGACTTCGACACGTGTAAATTCTTCCTCTCACGGTCCACGAGCAGTAGACCCTGATCTCCTGATAACAGCCGCAGCGAGCTTGGAGTAGTACCTAGTCGGTGATACAAGACTCTGCGCAAACCGCCAAAGCGTCTTGCAGCACGAGTCAACACGACATGTTCCACACTTTCCAGTCCTCTGCCGCAATGCGGTCTCCCGATGCAGACATAGATGCTTCAGGCAAACCATCGCGCCCCCCAGGGTCACGGCGCATATCCACCAGCAACGCGTGCGTCGAATGCAGGAGGCGCAAGATTCGCTGCGATGGCTCGCAACCCTGTGGGCAATGCCAGTGGTACCAGCACCCCGAGGCATGTGGGTATTCGAAACCTGCGCAGAGAGTGGTACCCAGCAGAAAGTGAGTCGTCAGGGTCTGGCCCAACCAAGTGACTAATGCTGAATGCTGAATCTTGGGTAGACTAGTTGACAAGCTGTCCAACAACATCGAGCAGTACAAAGCCGTCTTGACGAAGCTGTACGGAGGCAGGAATCTCGAGTCATTGGCAAATCTGCCCAGAGAAGAGCTATTGGAACTGGCCCTCTCCTCACCCTCCATCACATTGACGACATCCCCTTCCACGACAGAATCCGTAGCCCTGTCAGACGTCCAGGCGGGATCGGATGGGGCTGAGAGTCTGGAGGCGCTTGAACAAGCTCCACCCGAAGATCCTTACTGGGATGAGGCACGGAAGCACCAGCTCCGTGTCCAAGGCATTTCCGACGATGTCAATGGGCTATCCATGTCAGTCGACCGCCTCTCGTCCTATGTTGGAATATCTTCCATTACAGCGGCACTCAAAGTGATTGTAAGATGCGCTCCACAAGCCCGCCTGTTGATTGCGCACAACAGCCAGGAAACCGCGCTGCCGAGCCGTGCGGGGTCACCGCCGCCCGAACTTGCGGACAATAACCCGCTTGCTGTTCCATCAGCACAGCACGGCCAGCAACTTATTGAAGCGTTTTTCGACCGGGTCCACCCTTTCTTTCCCATGATAGATGAGCGCAAGTTCTGGAACACGTACTTGTATGGTGATCGCAAAGACTCCGCATGGCTCGGCTTGCTCAACACAGTCTTTGCTTTGGGCTCACTTTCCTCGTCGACTGCAGACAACGAGGCCCACTATGTCTACTTCACCCGCGCGAGACAGCATGTCTCTCTGGAATCTTTTGGAAGCGGGAACCTCGAGGTCCTGCAGACGTTGGCGATTATGAGTGGGTACTATATGCATTATCTAAACAGACCGAATGAGGCACATTCTCTGATGGGTGGCACCCTGCGTATGGCTACTGCTCTGGGCCTGCACCGTGAATACTCTGAACGCAGTGGTTCAAGTCGGAAGTTCACAGCGGCTGGTGAGGAGGACTCGATCTCTCCAGAAATGCGGCGACGCATATGGTGGAGCTTGTTCTGTCTTGATTCCTGGGCTTCTACCACCACTGGCCGCCCATCTTTGGGTAGGATGGGACCTTCAATCACAGTGATGAGACCTGGCACCGCGCCCAATGCGGTATGCTTCTCGACATGTCCTCGGCGATATCTTACGCTGACGCCCTCCCAGGTACAAACGATTCCGCCACCAGACAGCCCTCAGTACATCGAACAACTCAAAATTCTCCCCCTAATCCACGCTTCTGCATTCTGTCAGATAGCCACTCGGATACAAGATCGTCTCGTGGAAACACCTTTACTCTCCTTGGCTGAGACTGCAGCTTTCGATATGCAAATCCTCAAGTGGCACGAGGAACTACCCTCAATTCTCTCTGATCTCAACGAACCATGTCCAGACTTTCTGCGCCGAGTTCGAACTGTCATGAAATGGCGCTTTCAAAATATTCGTCTTGTGCTCCATAGGCCCGTGTTACTTACAACGGCCTTGCGACGCAGCTCTTGGAACTCTCTAAGCCCGGAAGAAAAGGTGGCGGTTGGAAAGTGTCGTATGATCGCGGCCAAGACAATCCAGGAGCTGAGCAAGGAGTGCATGGCTGACCTGATCAGTGGCTGGAACGCGGTATGGTTTTGCTTCCAGGCCTGTATGGTCCCTCTTGTCTCGCTGTTCAGCGACTGTTCTATACCGGAAGAGGTGAAGAAGTGGAATGAAAGCCTGGAAACCGCCTTGCAATTCTTTGAAACGGCCAAAGACTGGAGTATCGCTGCCAAGCGAAGTGGGGACGCTGTCACAAGGCTGTATGCCGCATACAAGACCTATGCATCTACAATGCTTTCACAACCACAAGCTCCCATGCAGACGGTCCAGCCTCATTACCAGGATTCCAACAACTTTGCACTCCCAGGCACCGTGACTACAAGCAGTATGCTGAATACACATCAAATTTATTCCCAAGCCCAGCCCGCATTCCAATACAACCCGTCAACACCAACGTGGGCAAATGCAAATGATCCAACCATTCTGAACAACCTCTGGGACGACATGATGTGGGACACAAATCTCCCGGACATGCTGGAAACACCATTCGGGCTGAACAACGACTGGGAGTATGCATCAACGGCGCAAGACTCGGGCTCAGGTGGGGCATGCTGGATGCATGGGAATTGACATGGCTTTGTGATTTCGCCACTGCGAAATTAGGAGTCGCAGGGGCTCCTGTCGATCGCGAGATCAGCCACGAGACTGCACGTGCTCAGGGCACCTCAGCTCGTATATGCATCATGCTACAGCTGACCGCAAAGGAAATACAGGACCTTTGCACATGATTGCTATATTTGCTAGATGCCGTACTATGTTGAATTCGAGTTCGACCTGACCCATGCTGTGTGGCTCTCCCTCTAAGGCTTAAAATAGTACCACAACAGCAATTCACCCAGCAGGTTGCCACCACATTAATAGTAGAGCGGGAACGCTTGAATTCCGGTTATCATAGTGTCACGAACCTAACCTAAGGGGCACGTTAGTCTAAGTAGTAAAGTGGTTATAAGAACCGCCTTTTGTAACAATAGGGCAGAATTGTTCGCCCACTGTTGTATGCTAAGTTAGCCCTAATAATAGCCTAACTTGCAGATATATATAGAGAGCAGCTCGCCTATATTAGGATAGGTATATTCTTATTACCCTTTTATACAAGACCTATAGGTGTAGGTGTAACAAGGCAGGTAGGTAGGGCATCTAAACGGTATGGATACAACTTAAAGGCATATAGGAGTGCGCGTCTATATAAAAAAGGATAAGATTCCTACACCTATAGGTCTTATATAAAAGGATCAGAAGAATATACCTATCCTAATATAGGTAAGCTACTCTCTATATATATTAATAAGTTAAGCCTTTATTGTAATAATAAGGCAGAATTGCTTGCCTATTATTCCATGCCAAGTTAGGCCTAATACAGGCCTAACTTACTAATATATATAGAGAGTAGCTTACCTATATTAGGATAGGCATATTCTTCTTATCCTTTTGTATAAGACCTATAGGTGTAGGAATCTTATCCTTTTTTATATAGACGCGCACTCCTATATACCTTTAAGTTATATAGGATACCTTTTAGATACCCTACCTACCTATATAATTATATTATAAGAAGAATATTATCCTAGCTAGTAATAGTATTCAAGAATAGTATATATAATATTATTTTAAGTTACTAATTTAGTTCTAGTAGTAGTCTAACCCTATAACTCTATAGTTAGAATAGCTATTAGAACTTCTAATAACTAAAGCCTATGGGCTTAGACTTCTAGACTACTAGTGTGCCGTAGCACGGGGTGCATGGGAGAAAACAAGGCTTAGCCTAAAAGGTTAGGCAGGTTAAATAGTATAAAGGCATAAAGGATTAGAGGATAGAATAGTATTACTCCTAGAGACTTTACTTTAACTCTACAATATTATCTTTTCTCTTATAATCTAATATTAAATTTATATCTTCTACTATAGGTTTATTACTATTAAACCTAGCCTCTTCTACTTCTTCTTATTTAAATAGGTTATTCTCCTTAATAGTTTAAATAGCAAAGCCTAAGGGGAACTTATCTTAACCTTTAGTAAAGGGAAGGGCCTAGTAGTATATAACTAAGAGGACATTTCTCCTAGTATAAGGGGGGCAGAGAAAAATTAGAAAATAGGTAGTGTTAATAATTAATAATATTAAGGTAAAAATAGTAGGCCGATATTAGGATATAGCTAACGCGTGTTAGTAGGAATAGAGTAATAATACTAAGAGGCTAACTAGAAAATATTAGAAACACTAGAATAACTAGAATTAGAATAACTAGAACTAGAATAACTAGAACTAGAATAACTAGAACTAGAACGACTAGAACTAGAATAACTAGAACTAGAATAACTAGAACTAGAATAACTAGAAGAACTAGCATAACTAGAACTATTAGAATAATTAGAACTATAAGAAGTATTAGTAATACTAGAAGTGCTAGAATACCTAGAATATTACTACTAATAGAAAAGCTATAGCAAAGGCTATAGGATAGTGTGCGCTATTAGTAGGAAAATAAGGCTAGGCTAAAGTTACTAATATAATAAGAACCTACTAAAAATAAATATAAGTGCTAGCACTATTTAGGAAGGGTATTAGGGATATAGCTACTTAGGAAGAGGAAGTAGTCTATAAAAGTAAGAGATAGGAAAGGGGGGAAGTAATATAAGTAAGTAGATACTAACTTATCTAATAATTTTAATTAATATTACTAGTTTATATACCTCCTTTAATATTTATAGAAGCCTACTACCTTAACTAAGCTTATCCTTTTTACTAGGAATAATACCTAGAGAAAGTAATATTACCCTAGGGTTAACTAAAATAGAAACCTCTAGACCCCTAAGAAGAGTCCTTGTCCCTATAAGGCCTAGGAAAACTAACTTTTAGTTCTAGGGGAGGGAGGTTATAGAGTTCTTAGATAACTATAACTACTAAGTAGAAAATAGGTAGCTAAATATAGTAAACTAACTAAATATTCTGCTAGACTTCTATAATACTATATATAGAATATTTATAAAGAAGCTTAGACCCTACTAGAAGCAAGACTAGGAGAAGGTATAAGAAGCTATAAAGAAGCACTAGAGGGACTAAGATATAGCCTAAAGGATAGGTACCTAAACCTTTCTAAATATATATATATAAGAAGCCTCTAGAAACTTCCTAGGTCTCTTAGACTACTATACTTATTTTATAGTATATAGTAATACCTACCTAGTATCTAAATAGCTATATAAAAGCAAAGTTAGATTCTTTTTTTTTAGAGGGTTACCCTAGGTAGATAAAAAGCTATTCTTGCTTAGTATACTAGGAGGGCCTAATAGTAATAAGGTAGTAAGCTATAGGCTAGAGAAGATCTATACCTACGTTAAAAGAATCTATTAGTAAAAAGAAGGAATAAAATATATATTAGCTAGCTAAATAAAGGAAGATACTTAGTAGGTATATTAGAGTATTAGAATTAGCAAAAGCTACGCCTATAAAGGAGGAAATTATAGAGGTAGTAAAAAGCGTTAGAAAGGAGTAAGCTACTACCTAGCTAATACTAAATATTAACCTAGAAATAGACTAGTTAATTAGGGTACTAGGAAAAATAAAGATAAGTTTAGCTAAGGCTAATAGGCTATAGGAACACTATATAATAGGCCTACTACTAAAAAGCCTAGTAAACTAGCTTTACTTTATTTTATATATAACTAATACTAGGATAGAGCAAGGAATATATTAAAATACTATAGTAACTAGAGGGTTATTAATAAACTAGCTAAGAACCTAGGGCCCTATATAGATATTAACTACTTAGCTAGGGATATAGAGTTATAGGGGGTATAATAAGAAACTACCTACCTATAATATATATAGATTAGAAACCTACCTAGTAAGAGACTACCCCCCCTAGCTAGAACTTATAGCGCTAGGGTAGGTAAGCACTTCCTAGAATCTAGAAATTAGGACTAGGATATTTTACTACAGACTATTATATAAAAGACTAGGGTAGGTTACTAAGCTAGTACTATAAAACTATACTCTTTACTAGATAAAGTAAAAGTTATATAAATACTATAAAGTTACTAAGAATATCCTTAGCTAGCTAGTATTATAGGTTATGCTAGAACTATTTAATAGAATAGATTTAAGAGGCTAGTAGTAGAGGTAGACTTAAGGACTAGACTACCTAGCGGTAAAAAGAGCGGGAGCTAACGTGATATCTTCCTAGAATTAAGGATTAGAACTAATAAATATAAAAAGAGAGTATAAGTAGTTCTTAAACTATTAAGTACTATAACCTAATAAGAAAGACCTAGTAGTAATAACGCTAGATTATATAGACTTAAGATATATTATCCTAGGAGTAGTAGATAAGAATATACCTAGGATCTCCGCCTCTATAAGGGAGAAAGAAAAGTAAAGGGACTAAGTCTTAGAAGAAGTAAGGATAGGATTAATCTAGAAGTATAGGTAAGAAAGACTACTATAAAACTTAGTAAACTAAAAAGAAGAGGTAAGTAAAGAGATAGAACTTAAAAAGACCCTAGAGATTCTATACCTAGCTTAGGCCTATATAGACCCCTTTACAATATTCTAGCTACTAGATAGTATAGGTAAAGGCTATATAAATTTAGGGCCTAATTAGGACCTACTAGTAATAAGAAGAAAGGTATAGTTTAAAGAAGTAAAGGATAAGGAGCTTAAGGGAATAATACGCCCTAGCCTAAACTAAATAGCAGCTGCTTTTCTTAGGCAGGAAATATAGGGAATTATAGTAGCTAACCTACTAGGGCAAGATTATCTATAGGAATAAATTAAGACGTTATTATAGGACCCCTAGACTTAAGTCCTAGAGGATAATAACTACTTTAGCGGGGTAAATATAGTAGAGCTAGGGGGCCTAGAAAATGCGCTAGTTATAAATAGGTATCTAAAGGGTGCGCTAGTTCTACCCTTTAGCTATATTAACTAATTAGAGGAGCTAGAGGTAAAGAACCCTATACTAGGTTAGCGTAATATACGCGCGATGCTAGAAGTATATAACACCTAGGTAAGGCTCTAATTTAGATAAAACTTAGATAGGTATAGAAAAGATTTAGTTATATAAGAAGAAAAAGACAAGTCTTGCGCTAACTAGGAATTAAATTAGATAACTCTCTACGTAGAACTACTAATATACTAGACTAGTATAAGGGGGAATATAGTAAACTACCTAATTAATATAGGGGTATAAATAAATCTCTTAAGATTAAGTACTATATAGGCGTTATAGGTACCTATTAAGATACTAACCTAGACCCTAGGGTATACGTAGGGGGTAGTTATAGCTAATAGCAGGATAGACCTATTTATTAGAACTGCGTGGAATATGCTAGTATATATAGGGGAGGTAGAGACCCTAACTTATTTTAGGGTAATTATAAACCTAACCTACTTAGCTACTAGTTAGTGAGGGCTATAGTGTACCTCTACTAGGCTAGCTATTTAGTATAATATCTATAGGAGGGTTACCTACTAGGTGCTATCCTTAGATAGGGAAAGGAATGCGGTCTTTATAGCCTTAGATCTAAAGCTAGAAGATAGAGATAAAATAGAAGAGGATAACAAATTAGAAAAC